ACACACACACACACACGCGCGCGCGCGCGCACTCACGCACATTACCTGTACCGTTTCACCTTTCTTTCTCTTCTCTCTCTCAATTCGTCTCTCTCATAACTCTTTCACTCTCCTGTCTCTCCCTTCCTTCCTTCCTTCCTCTTTTCCTGTCTCGTTGTCTATCAATCCCACACAAATCTCACTTTCCCTCCTGAACCAGACGCAGTGCCCTCATAATGGCACACCTCGACAGACAACGGTATAAATTATGCACGAGAGCATACACATAGGACGTACAAAAGTCGGGGGTTTCTCCCCAAGCCGGATTAGATGCGTTACAATACAACAAAAGGATGAACAAGAAAATAAAACAGCATTATTTTCCTCAGGGGAAATTTGTTCGGTTACGAAGTTAAAATGAACCACACTGTTCAATTTCGAATCCAAGGGGATTATGAACTCCATCCTTCCCTGTCTATGGCACAATGACAGGGTGGACAAATCGTGCATTCAGCCGCAACGATGGGTCTAGTAGGTAAAAAAAACTCAGATAGATTTCCAAATATATATTTTCAGGGGGGGGGGGGGGGGAGTGCAGAACAACATAAAAGGTCCACATTTCCGCATTCGCAATCAAACAATCTCCCTCCAAAATCCGAGGCTCATTTCATACTCCAAGACCGAAACTGCACAACAATTTTATTGATCTAATTTTTAAAAGAAAGGCTGCCCTCGCGCGATTGGTGTTGATATTCAAACCTCAGATTCCCACGGTTCAGTCAAACGCCCTCTCGCACCCTTCTGAAATCAATCGATTACTATCAAACAAAACACAAAATGCACAACGCGCACTTGGTTACTAGATCACTCGACCCTTGCATCGGCGGTGCAAAAACGTGGGAAGCAAACACCACATTGTAGGGGTACGAATCCTCAGAACCGCACACACGCCTCATCAATACACTTCGCCAGATCGATATTCAATAACATATTTCTATATCAATAGGTGGGAAGTTTTTAAAAAAAAAAATTTTTAAATAGAGAAACAAAATAAATGACGAAACCGGGAAGGGCATAAAAATAATTTGTGTAAATAACACATTAATTTTTATAAAAGGTCCTGAGAAACTAATCAAAATCCTGAATCAGTTCAGAGTGCACGGGTGACAGAACACAGAAAATCCTGCTCCTGAAAACGACCAAACCATTTCGTAAAGATGTTTACACGATAAACGAACACACATGGAACCGTATTTTGAGAAAACAACATCTCACACAGGTGTTTTTTCCCGCGAGCAAACTTTTTAAAAAACAAACAAATCAGACAAAATAAAAACAAGCAGCAGAAACCCTCTAACTGACGAGGAGAGCTTGTCGAAAAGAAGCCAGGCCAGAGCTCACTCGGCTCCGCATGGAGGCAACAAAACCCGCTTATCCGTGGCGAGCAGCGTTCTGTCTTCGCTCCCCCTCCGGCGGCTGTGGCGTGGCATCAGATCGCACCGCGGAGCACAACGGGGCGCTCTGGGGCTGTGGGGGGGGGTATTGAAAACCGTCTTTGCAGGGTGCTCTTTGAACGACGGTTCTTACCCTCATCACTGGAATAGCAGGGACATTTCTACGCACGGTCAGTCGAGGCATACACTTTTTTTTTAATCATCCGATTTTCTTTTTTTTTTTTCCCCCTTTTTTTCCAAATTATGTACATCTTGGTCTATTTATTGAACGTAATCAATTTTCGAATCATTTTCATGAGTCAGCAAGGCAAAAATAAACAGCAGCCGCCATTTTAAATGCACCAACCAGCGCCAAGGGACCTGGTAAGAGATGGTGCTAGCGTGGTCTGCAACTGAAAACGATCAACTTTAAGATATGCCTTTTTTGTCTAGCGGATGATTGGAGGGCAAAACTTGTAAGTCTTTCTTCTTTTCTTTCACTGTGTTGTCTCTGTCTGTCTTCTTTGCTTTTTTCCGGTACTAAATGACCGTTCTCGTGACAATGTGCCTCTCTTCACTCAAACAAACAGACAAGGATACAAGGGGGCTCCGTGGCTGAGTGAGTAGTGAGTGTAGACTCATGTAATGTCAAGCAAGTGTCGGTGACACGGGTATCGGATGGGTGGTGACTGGGGTGTGTCCTTAAGCAAGACACGACAATCCTAGCTCAAAACACAGGGCGCTACACAGTGGCGACCGACAGTGGCATGGTTGCAAACTGTTATGTACTTGTGTAATATGGTGTATTTACGTATGTATTTAGTATTTATGCATGTATTTATATATGTACGTATTCATAATTATGTATTTATGTATGTAAATGTACGTATTTATAATTATGTATTTATGTATGTAAATGTGTGTTTTCCATTGTAAACCAAAGAGCCCTTCCGGGACAAATAGTATATATATATATATTATACAAGTTGTATCCTCTTTTAGACTTTTCCACAACTTTCTCCGCACAACTATCCTGTAAAGACGGTTCTCGCTCCGGGTTGAA